ACAGTACAATCACGCCGTGCTAATGTAGTGGAACGACTAAAGGTATAAACTTCCATAAGCAACCAATGCTCATAGAGAAGTCAACAATAACCCAAGGCTAAGACGGGCTGAGCTCTCTAGGTCACACCCGGCCTGGTTAATCGTTCCAGAGTATACCCGTAACTTCGACACCCAGGGGTCGAGAGCTAACAGGTGAACAATACCAGAGAACTTGGGCGCGGCATGGCCAAGGGCTCTCTGTCATGTCTGTTTACGCAGCGCGTGCTATTTCAAGTGGAAAGGATCCTGGCCTGTAAGGTCGGGACTTCCAGGTTATAAAACCTCGCAAATGTGGACGGCGAGGCCGACTTTGAGCGTGGATGGGGAGCGACCCTTATCCAGCAGCTCTTGTAGAAAAGACAGCACCGCTGCTAATTTGGAAGTGAGAGGGTCTTTGCCGCGGTTTAAACACCAGACGGAGAAAAAATCGCCCGATTACCTGTGGGATCAGAGCGATCGGGGGGAATGCATAAAGAAGGAGGTTGGGCCAATTGTGGGCCAACGCGTCCTTGGTCTTTGAGAAATAAATTTGTCAGTGAGAGTTGTCTTCTGAGGCGAAGAGGTTATAGCTGGACGCTTTTGTCCATATTAGGAATTTCCTCATACGACTTTCTGTGCGAGAGCGCCCTCCGGCTTAGATTATGAATGAAACATACACTGCACGGAATGTTTAGCGCTCCGTGATGTTCATCTCGCCTTATTCTGGGTCCGAATAAAACATCAGATCATGCACAGACTATCCTGTCTCTTTGAATTTAAATCTATATTTATTCACACCGGCTCTTGAAAACCTCTATGCGAACACACTTGCCCGAAAAAGTGCGGGGGACGAATTTACGTGATATTAAAAGTGGGGGGGGACACGTCCCCCGCGTAATCTACGCCCCTGGATTATACATTCATATTTTGACCAGAAGCGACCGTTTAAAGTTAAAGCGCCCTAATGATAGATTTGTTTCTTACAAACATGCAGCTTTTTGCTTCACAAGATGTTGATTACTGGACTGGAGTTGTGTGATTGCTTGTGAATTATTGTGATGATTTTATCAGCTTTTTGGACTCTGATTCTGACGGCACCCATTCACTGCAGAGGATCCATTGGTGAGCAAATGATGTAATGCTACATTTCTCTAAATCTGTTCTGATGAAGAAACTCATCTTCATCTTGGATGGCATGAAGGTGAGTACATTTTCAGCAAATTTTCATTTTTGAGTGAACTATTCCTTTAAAGTAACTTTTTTATAGCTCTGTATATATAGCACTAAATAACAACGGCAGAAATCTGGTATGTTTTTGCATGTGCTGCAGCTTATCCAATATTTTTGCCAGAAGAATGTACAATTTGAAGAGAGATAAGTATACTGATGTTACAGTTAAAGTATTTGCACTCGGTGTATCTGATAAACATGTCTCCTGTCTGTCTGTCTGTTTCTAATCGATGGCTCATCTATCCTGTAATCCTTTTCTGTGCATGCACAAGTTTACTTTTTTGAGGTTGAGGTGTTTATACTAGGTCGAGTTTGGTATAAAATTTCAGTGTAATATTTCCTTCCAGCAAAAACACTTTCGAGATTTACTAATATAATTATCATGACGAGATTTTCTCTAAATCTCTAAATTGGGGTAATTATTTATTGCAGTTATATCGCATTGTAGGATTTCCATCCGAGCAACCATCCTGGGGTGAAAAGCACAAATGTGCGATTAGCCCTAAATTACCCTTCCACTCCTTGCGGTTTTATAATGAATGAATGCCAATCAAAACCAGAAGTATTGCATTCGATCCATTCTAAGGGTGAGGGTGAATGATCCATTCCATTAAACAGTTAACAGTTCACACCTACCAATTATGTTCTTCACTTTTCATCGGCTATCTTATCATTCCTCATGTTGTTGGGTGTTTCCGCGATTGTTTCGCAGTTCTCCATAATTTTATGTTTAATGTCTTTATTCACTTGATCAGGGTCAGAATTAGACTTTAAGTTCTGCTCCACATCTGTGTCACTGGCTAGGAGTGATATAGCCTCTTCTCCCACTTCAAGATCACTTATGTCATTAGTCGGATCCAGCTGATGAGTAATACTGCATTTTAGGTCCATTGCAGTATCTGCAAAGTTACAAAAAAAAAATTTCATTCAACTGCAATCACATGGCTAAACTGAAAAATAATGCATTGGCCGAACATGTTTCTTATCCACTGTGACATTATATTTTGTTTATTTAAATATAAGTATAAAGAAAACTCTCAGCTTTCTAATAATACAATTATCTTATTATATTATCTTAACTACTAATTAACTAATTAATTACTAATTAACATTAAAATATTGCATGTCAAAACATTTTTATTGAAAAAACTGCAATTTTATTTCACAGAACATCTTGGTTATGTATGTAACCCTCGTTCCCTGAAGGAGGGAAATGAGACGTTATGTCGACACTGATGTTAGGGGTCTCACTTGGGAGCCCCAATCACCTCTGAGCATTACAAGAAATAACCAATGACGATTGGCGGGTGGAATTTGAATGCCAAGCCACTCCCTGTACATATGGGTATATAAAATGTTGGCGTGCATCCACTTATTGTTGTGGCATGAGGGATGTAACATCTCCGTTCCCTCCTTCAGGGAACGAGGGTTACATACATAACCGAGACGTTCCCTATCAGTCAGTCACGTTCGACACAGACGTTAGGGGTCCCTATGGAAAGCGCCACAACCAGAACTGTGTTACGAAAATTGAAGGTGCAGGTGCTGACAAGCAAGCATGTCAGGACAGATGCAGGGAGTGGTGGGAACTTTGGGCACATAACCCGGGCCGAGGCCTCAAGATAATGTGAAAATCAGCCAGCTCAAACTCAAGGCATGATTCATTGATCGAAAATGCCTGCAGGTCCCCAACCCTCTTGATGGATGTGAGCGCGACCAGGGGTGCTGTCTTAAATGACATGAACTTGAGCTCAACTGAGTAAAGCGGCTCAAAGGGGGCTCCCCGTGGTCCTGCCAGGGCCACAGAGAGATCCCAAGAGGGAACGAGGCGCGATCTTGCACAGACCAGGCTCACTGGGGAAAAGGCGTACTTGCATTCACCGTGGGGGCCAGCTGTGTGCCAGAGCATCCGTGCCGAGGGGTGCCTCGGTGAGGGCGTAGAACAGCTGGCAGTGGGAAGATTCCTGAGAAGCAAACAGGTCCACCTGGGGATGGAGTCTCCATTCTCCTGGAAGAGTAACCTGTCGTGAGAGTGCATTGGCTGCATGATTGAGCTCCCCCGGAACATGAACGACACGCAGTGATTTGCGATGTGAGTGTACCCCACCCTGATGGTTGATGTACACAACCATCGCAGTGTTGTCCGTGTGGACAAGCACATGCTTGCCTTGCAGCAATGGACAAAACCAGTGAAGAGCAAGCAGTACTGCCAGCAACTCGAGGCAATTGATGTGCCACTGCAGTCGTGGTTCCGTCCAGGAACCCTGTCCTAGAGGCATCTGTTGTGACAACAACATGCCTCGACACTTGCTTCATGGGTTGAAAAGGCGGCGACAAACTGGGGTAACACTGATCCGGTGAGTGCCACGGCGCCATGCCCTTCTTGGGACTCAGCTGTGCAGCCAGTGCTGAAGTGGTCTCATATGTAACAACCTGAGTTGCTTAACTGCGGCTGCGGATGCCATATGCTCTAGGAGCCTCTGAAATGTTTTTGGAGGAACCGCTGTTTTCCCCCTGAACAAATTCAGGCAGTTCAGCACTGACTGGGCACGCTCATTCGTGAGACGTGCTGTCATGTTGACCAAGTTCAGCTCCATACCGAGAAAAGAGATGCTTTGCACTGGGGAGAGCTTGCTCTTTTCCCAGTTGACCCAAAGCCCCAGGTGGCTGAGATGCTGAAGCACTATATGCCTGTGCTCGCACAACACATCTCGCGAGTGAGCTAATGTAAGCCAGTCATCGAGATAGTTGAGGACTCGGATGCTCTTCTCCTGAAGTGGGGACAGGGCACTTTCCACGACTTTTGTAAAGACATGGGGAGACAGGGACATCCCGACTGGGCAGATACACCCAACCCTCGAAAACAAACCGAAGAAACGGTCTGTGTCGAGGTAGAATCGAGACGAGAAAATATGCATCCTTCAGGTTGATCGCTGCAAACCAATCCTGGTGTCGAACGCATTAAAGAATGCACTTCTGCGTCAACATCTTGAACGGAGGCCTGTGAAGAGACCGATTCAAGACTCGCAGATCCAGGATAGGTTGTAACCCACCACTCTTCGTGGGTACAATGAAATAAGGACTGTAAAATCCCAATTTCATCTCGGCTGGAGGGACAGGCTCTATTGCATACTTTGTTGAATCGTCTGAATGAGCCAGGCCCCCAAGCTCTGAGAAAGTGGCACCAAAGGTACGATTACTGACGTACTCACGGTGAGGCAGCAGAGAGGAGGAAGAGAGTCTAACCTGGGAAGCGTGGCATCCTGAAGTACAGACAGAGGAGAAGCTCTTACCTGACTCCCTGGATCCCGTGGAGAGATTGCAAGGGAAACGTGAGGAAGCGGAGCATCCTGCAACCGCAACCTCTTGGGTGGTGATAAACTGTGTTGAGACTGACAGTGAGGAAGCAGAGCGTCGCTCACAGACAAATCCTGACACATCAGACCCAGAGATGAAGGAAATTGCTCTTTTATGGAGAATGCGGGTACCGCTGACTGAGGGGTCAGTGGCGGAACAGGCATCAACGGTGGTGAACGCCCCCGGCCCTCCCCCGGGGTGAGGGTCCAGATGTTAATGGCCCCAAAAGAGCAACCCCTTCCATCTCTGGGCCGCCCGTCTCAGGGATGCTTTGCTGTCTTCTGGGAAGTCTCCTCCTTGGATTCTGGTCAGGGCGGAGCAGATATTAACTCCGTAAGGGGGCACCCTCAGCGACGGGCAGATGAAGACCCAGACCTCAGCGGTTTGGCAACTGGAGTGTCCCGCCTAGGCAAGATGTGCTTAATGGCCTCTGTCTGCTTCCGGACTGCCGAGAACTGCTGGGCAAAGTCACTTAAGAGGTGTACTTGCAGGATGGCCATGGTGTGCATGGCGGAGGCCCAGACACGTGAGACAGCGATCGTGTCCATCATCAGAGGTAAGTAAAACTACCACACCCGGAAGCACACGGTCGGAAAGACGTCTTGAAAGACACTCTCGACTGTGCAAGCTGTAGGAAATTGCTCTTTTAGATTGGAGCTCCCAGTGGTGGATCACAGCACTTACCTGTGCTAAGGAGAGGCGAGCACACAGCTGAATGCACTGTTTTCTGACACAGCTGAGAATCTCCTGCAGTGAAGGCTTCTTCGTTTCTGGAAGATTTCTCTTAGACGAGAGAAAGCCCTCACGAAGCGATCGGCTCTGTAGCAAAAATCTGAATGAGTGGATGCATGCCGCCATCTTATATACCCGTATGTATGGGGAGTGACTTGGCATGCAAAAATTGGCCATTTCTTGTAATGTTCAGAAGTGATTGGGGCTCCCAAGTGAGACCCCTAACGTCAGTGTTGACGTAATGACAAAACGTGACTAACTGATAGGGAACTAGTATTTATTCAAACATATAATTCAGATGTTTGGGGTCAGTAAGATTTTTTAATGTTCTTAAGCAGTGCTTAATTTGAGCTGGATCCTGCCGGATCCTGTTCTGGAAAATGCCCGATTTTGGATTTTTGCATTCTGGTAATTGTTTTTAAGGATCCAGCATTAGATCGTGACAGTGCGTGCGTGCATATGAGAGCGAGCGCAGGTTTATGTATTTGGAGGTTATGTATTGGTCCTCAACATATTTCTGACTGTGACCAGTCAGCTTTCTTAAGTTTAACTTGCTCTCATTGATTGGTGCTTACTGCTTATTGTTTTATTAGCAGCAGAACGTTTGGAGAGAGTGTAATAATACCAGAAATACCATAAATAATACCAAATAAAGTGAAATATTATAATGTATAAACATTATAAACACTATAAACATAGCTATACGTTAGTATAGCTCACTCCAAAACAAATCATATAAATGTAACGGTATTCAGAACAGAACAAGAATGAAATAAAAATATATAAACCTAAAGAAACCAAAACAAAGCGAAACTGAAAGTACCAGGCGTTGATTGGGCTCACGTGGCGTACCTCTCATTCGGCACAAATCATAATGTTTCTATATTCGCAATGTATTTGAAACTATTATTTATAATGTTGAGGCTTTGTACTTTACGCGCATTTGTATATCGACAGAAATATCCTCTTCACATGAGCAACTATGTGCTTGGCATACAAAGTGGACCAGTTATAGGCCTACCACAGACTATTTAAATTGACCAGTGTAAACTTTTATATTTTTGGTTGACTGTTTTTTATTTTGATAATGAACAGACTGTGATGTCAAGTTTGAGTTGTGAATATGTGGCGGCGCGATCTAACAGCTGAAACATAAAATACATCATTTTTGGTCATACAGATAAGAGTAAGATAATTCGAAAGCACAAAGTGTTTACTTTTATTTTTGCACACTCAAAATAACAACAGAACATTTGTGATTTTGTACAATAAAGCAAGGATGCGCGTTTAATTAAAACTGTTACTTATTTAAGTCAGATATTTTTCGCATATTTATACCTATGCTACTATGATTTAATTTTATTTTTATGAAAACTAATTTTGTTATTTTTAATGTATCTTAGATATACATTTTCCTAAAATCATCCTGGCAACCCATTTTTGACCGGTTTTGAAGCTATGCCCTAGTTAGGTTAATGCAGAAAACATGTGAATGATGCTCTCTTATAATTGTGGCATCACCGTTTAGTGACGTCATTGAATGTTCCGGGAAAACTTAGGTTGTATTTTCAGTGTCAGTCACAGCGCCTTTTAATTGCTGTTTTGGATCTGGCAATTATTCATTTACAAATTAAGCACTGCACTTAAGCTTACCAAGGCTGCATTTATTTGCTATAAAATACAGTAAAAACAGTAATATTGTGAAATACTATTGCAATTTAAAATAAGTGTGTTCTATTTTTATACATTTTAAAATGCAATTTATTTCTGTGATGGCAAAGCTGAATTTTCAGCAGCCATTACTGCAGTCTTCAGTGTCACATGATCCTTCAGAAATCATTCTAATATGTTGATCTGCTGCTCACGAAACATTTCTAATTATTAGTGTTAAAACAGTTGCTTAATTGTTTTGTGAAAATTTTCTTCGATTAATAGAAATGACTAAACTCCCCCTCACCTGACTGTCCAGTCCTGGCTTGCTTCTCAGCTATAGGTAATGTCTTGCACTCAGTATTGATCCCCTCAGCCAAATAATTGCTGCTGTCCACAATTTTATCCTGTTGAAGCATTTCTGTCTGTTCATCCTCCACTGTAGCCCATGTTTCTGTGTCAGGAGTCTGTTCTGCTGATGTGGCGTCTGGGCTGTTCTTGGAGGTCTCTGAGGAAGCCTGAGAGTCAACAGATTCAGTCTTTTCTTTCATGTCTGAATCTCCTTGATTGCTCAAACTAGAAAGATCTGTCTCGACCTGAATGGTTGGTAAGTTTATTTGGGGTAAGGTATCAGTTGAGCTCATCTGTGGCTCGTTTTTATCTTGAGTGGTTGAAATGATTTCAGGAATACATGCGTCATTGATTTGAGATGGCTCTGTAGCATGGGATTCTTGAAAGAGTGGTGCATGCTGGGAAAAAACTACATCAGCCTCCACTGTCTGGATTAAAGGTGTGTCCATCTGTTCCTTCTCATTTTCATCACCTACTTCTGTCGCCTCATTCTTCTTTATTATTTCTGTGTATGATTCTTCCTTCCTGAGCACAGTCACGTTCACTGCTCTGTCTACATCCACATGTGACATATGTTCATTGTCTTGGTTCTGTCTGTCCTGTTGGTTTTCCGTCATCCCATCTTGTTTGTTTTCACATTCATGTTCATCCATGATGTTCCCATATTGTATTTTTTCACTCTCACAGTTTTCTGTCATTTTCTGATTCTGTTCTTTTTCACCCTCATGTTCTTCCAGACTTTTCCCATCTTCATGTATTTCCCCAATTTTACAATCTTGCTCTTTTTCACTTTCAAACACTTCCATCATTTTCCAATCCTGTTCTTCCAACCTTCTACTATCTCGTTCTTCAACATCATCTTCTTTTTCACTCTCATGTTCTTCCTTACATTTTTCTACATTTTTTCCATCTTGCTCATTTTCTTGCCCACATACCTCCATAATTTTTTCAGTCTCAAATACTTCCACTACTTTCCGATCCTCTTTTTCACCTTCATGTTCTTCTATGAATTCTCCATCATGTATTTTTTCACTCTCACAGTCTTCTATCATTTTCCGGTTCTGTTCTTTTTCAATCTCATGTTCTTCTTCACATTTATGTATTTCTTCAGTCTCAAATCCTTCCATGCTTGTCTCATCCTGTTCTTTTTCACTTTCAAATGCATCCACAGTTTTTCCATCTTGATTTCCTTTTTTTCCATCTTCTTCCATTATTTTTCTATCAATTTCTTTTTCCCTCTTATGTTCTTCCTCACATTTTTCTACAGTTTTCCCATCTTGCCCACATTCTTCCATCATTTTTGCATATTGTATTTGTTCACTCTTAAATTCTTCATTAATTTTCCAGTCTTGTTCTTTTTCACATTCATGTTCTTCCATGATGCCCCCATCTTGTATTTTATCAACCTCATGTTCTTTCATAATTTTACCAGCTTGTTCATTTTCACTGTCATGTTCTTCATCACATTTTTCTTTCATTTTCCTATTTTGTTCAGTTTCTTGCCCACATTTTTCCATCATTTTTGCATATCGTTTCATTTCAGTTTCAGATATTTCCATGCTTTTCTCATCTTTTTCACTGTCAAATGCATCCACAATTTTCCCATCTTGCTCATGTTCTTCCATATTTTTTTCCAAATCTTTCCCATCTTTTTCACTTTCTTTTTCCTCTATAATTTTCCCACTCTCAAATTCTTCCACAATCTCCCCAACTTTATCTTCTTCCCTCTCACGTTCTTCCATAATATTTCCATCTTGTTTTTCTTCACTCTCACATTCTTCCAACATTTTCCCATCTTGTTCTTTTCCACTCTCATATTTCTCCATCATTTTACCATTTGATTCTTTTTCACTTTCATGATTTTCCATAGTCATTCCATCGTGTTCTTCCTGTCCCCTGTTTTTCATCTCTCCAGTTTCAGCTCTCTCTTCTCCACCTCCCTTCTCTTCTTCATGCCTCCCTCGCTCTCCATACATCTCTTCAGTTGCATCTTTCCCCTCATATTTAATCTCTTTTGCTTCATTCCCTTCATCCTCCTCCTCCTCAACCGTAGATATACCTGATGCCCAAGCAGTAAAATCCCTCCCCGGTTCCAAGTCGTTCAGCGTTCGTGGAGCAACAGACAGAGCAGGAAGTGGTCTGGTGGGTGGCTCAGGTACCAAAACACATGATGGAGGAAGAAGAGGGTCTAAGGGGTCGTCAAGTGTCTCAGGCTGGCCCACAGATGGTTCTGGTGAATTCTCAAAACCAGGGGGAGGTGGAGGAAACTCATCGGCTACCTCTGATTCATCTGGTTGGAGCTGTTCAGGGGTTGGTGGAGGTGGATAAAAGACCAGACTGTCTAGTATATCACTGACAGGAGTTTTGATTTCAGATTCAGTTGCATCGGTTGTAGGTGATGGTTGAGTTTGGAGCCGTGGCTCCATCATCTTAGATTGCTGGATCTGGCTTTTGTTAGATACCATTGAACCATTCGGCAGCGAGGAAGCCATAGTGCTAGTGAAAAGGATTGGGCTCCGGGATGTGGGAGTCGACGGAAAGTAAGGCGATACCACTGATGATCTGTATGGGGAAGTAGGTGTAGAAGAAGGTGATTCATTGAAACTGAAGATATTGTCTGTCTGACATCGATGCAGTCGCCTATAGGGACTCCTGGCTGCAAAAAAAAAGAGAAAGAATTTTTGAAACAACTAAAATATGAAAAGTACGTTTACAAAACAAGACTACTGTCATTATCATCAACAAATCTGTCTACACGCCAAGTGGCAATAATGTGTGCGTCACATTACTGCCACTTGATGTGTAGACAGACTTGTTCAGTTGCCGAACACCCTATTTCTATTTTTGTCATGCTGAACATCTGCGCAAGCCATATCTGATATGAAAACATTTTATTAACAAATCAAATGTGTGAACTGCTTACTATGAATTTTATTTACTATATATTTACATAACTGATAACAGATTACAATACGTTATAGTTGTTAACATAATGCATTAATCATGAACTGCTGTAAAATGAACATGAACATTTTTTACTGTACATTAGATTTCATGTTAATCTACACTACTGTTCAAAAGTCTGGGGTAAGTATGATGTATTTATTAAATTTTGGGGAAAAAAAAGTAGTTTATTTGTTTATATAACATCAAAAAATGTTACAATTATTCTGGACCCCACACTTTTGAACAGTAGTGCAGAAATATATAGAAACATTAACCTAGATTTATAAATGCTGTAAATGTAGCCTATTGTTCATTGTCATTTTATACAGTAACTGTGGTAAATGCTAACTAATTGAAAACTTGTGATCTTTACATTAAAGCTGGTTGGGATGCCATAAAAATGCAAAAATAAATTATGTTGGATTTTAAAATAAGTTCTCAAATGTAAGACATAAAATATTTGTTTGTGAGGAGTATGCAGTAGCATAGTTGCTCTCACGGTTTCAGCTAATAGAAACACATGGCGGTTCTCTTTGTCTTATACTTTACCTGGACATGTGGAGCTGGGATGGGAGGCTATGTGGACACTTGAGGAGGACAGTTGTCTGAAAAACTCTCTGGGGTTTACAGCACGCTGAGACACAAGAGCTGCTGCCTCCTGTTGGCCATAAACAGTATTATATCACTGCATGAAAATCACAGGGCACATATTTAGGGGATGGGCTTAGTGCAGGTTTGATTGACAGAACTAACCACAGCATTTTCCTCTGATTGAGAGCGTGAATATCTAGCTCTAATTTCCTCTTCTTCACGCTCCCTTTCCTCATGCTCCTGTCATATAATATAGTTTAAGAATATATACATGCAAACACACACGCACACACATGGAAACAAATTTATCATACCCATTTTATTTTCTCCAGTTTCCAGGCCTCTGCCTCCATTTGGGCCTGTATTCTCCTATTGAAAAAAAAAAGTTCACCTTTGACCCTTGTTTTTTTTTTGTTTGTTTTTTTTGCATACATGCATGGGAATATTTGACTGACCTCTGCTCCTTTATTTTCTGTTCCTTTTCATTCATCCTCCGCTCTCTCTCTGTTGCATCTCTCCTTTCCTGGAGCAAACGTTCTTTCTCTCTCTGCTTCCTGTCCTCTGCTGCCCTCCGCTGTTCCTCCTTTTTCCTTTCCTCCTCTTCTCTCTGTAAAATACAGTAAGAAACTAACCTCTGTCTGCTTTTGTATTGTTTGTGACATTTTTCCATTTTTGGAGGAAAATTTGAGTGAGTCCATGTTGCTGTGCTAAGTTCAAATTCTCAAATAATAACTCATAATAACTCAAATAATAAATCTCAGTTATCTCAGATCATTATATATTTTATGCCATGCTATGGGTTAATACAAAATAATGAAATGTAAAAATAGTAAGAAAAAACCAAATAATAAATCTCAGTTATCTCAGATCATTATATATTTTATGCCATGCTATGGGTTAATAAAAAATAATGAAATGTAAAAATAGTAAGAAAAAAAATTTTTTTTTTACATAAAAACTCACTCTGTACCTCTGCGTGTGCCCAAAAAGAATCTCTCTGTATTCTTTGGATCTCTGCAGCTGCGATTGTCCGCTTGTAATTAGTGCCCTGGAAATGGTAAGGAGACAGTTTGATTTGTTTACCATTTTCCTGATTTTAATTGCCTGACTGGTTATACTTTTCAAAACAACATTGTCATTTAGGATTAATAAAGCCTGCCCCCTTGTTGTAAGAAACTGTCATGATCTCATACCACAATGGCCTGTCTGTCTTCTGTCCGGTGGCTGGGTCTCCCTCTCGGTCCCTGTGTCACCACTGCAGCATTATAGGCCAGTGTACAGATCCTCTCCTCTGTGATTTCATCCAAAGTGTGGGCAGGAAGAAAGATGTGAACTTCCTGAAGCATCAGAAAGACAAAGAGAGCGATGGAGAAAATATGTTTTCATAGTTTTTATGCATTTATCTTTTGTTTTTTATTTAAAACTGACAAGACATGCAGTCCAAACAAGACTTCTAAAAGAAGAAACTGAATTAAAAACAAATCTAATTTTATTTAAAACTGACAAGACATGCAGTCCAAACAAGACTTCTAAAAGAAGAAACTGAATTCAAAAAAATCTAGTTTAAGATCTCTACATGCTTGCATGTTTACAAAACAAGTTTATTATGGTACCTAACCCTGTTGAAAAAAACAGCATATGCTGGTCCTTTGCTGGTTTATGCTGGTCCTTTTGCTGGTTTATGCTGGTCATGTGCTGGCAAAGTACCAGCATAAACCAGCAAAGGACCATCTTAAACCAGCAAAGGACCAGTTTAAACCAGCAAAGGACCAGCTTAAACCAGCAAAAGACCAGCTTAAACCAGCATCCCAGCGTCAAAACATACCTAACCATCATATGCTGGTTTTTTCAACAGGGAAATCGATTTACCTCTATATACATGAGTAAAGCAAAATGTAAGGCTTTGATTTTTTTCAGTATACTAAATTAAATACAATATTGTTTTATAATCCCTGTCCTCTTTTACCTTAAAGAAAGCCCTGATTGCTGGTAAATGACTGGCACACTCAGCTCTGCGGTACCCATCCACTTCATTTCCTACCTGAGAGACCACAAACACTGGTTAAAGGGAAATAATCAGTGTTTTACATTAAACTGTGTGGAGGATGAACTAACCCATAATATCATAGCGACGCGAGGTTGAGCTTTGCCCACCCTACACATCCCATAAAGTGGCCATTTAGGGTGAAGCTTAGCTGTCAACTCTTTCAATCCACCTGCTATAAAAGAACGAGCATATAAACAAGTCCACAAACAAAAAACAAAACATTATTTATGCATCTTTTTTGTGCTCTTACCTCCAGAATCAGCCAGTTTGAGCATGTTCATTATTCCATCATAGGTGAATAAAGCCCTGTACACAGAGATAGAAGAAAATGGCCACAGGGAATATTAAAGGTTCACTTTATTTCATTAAGATGGATAACTCAATTTAGAGACAAAGATAAATGTATTATAAGTGCAGGCAAGCTCTCTGATATTTTAGTAACAGACATATGAATGCTTCCGTACTGATGTTTGAGGTTTGGTTATTAACTGTATGTATGTATGATTAAAGATTTCTTTTAGCGTTTAATGCATTTGAAATGAAAGTCAGTATATAAAATGTATATATATAGACATTTTGTATGTTTATATTTGTATCTATCCACACACATATAATATTGTGTAATATATACAGTATATACACAAGTTGGGAAAGGCCTAAGGTAGGAAAATATGATGTATTGAAAGTTCAGTACAGTAAATTAAACAGGGAAAAAAAACTAATTTCAGCCACAAATGGCACCATTTCCTGTGAATGACGCCCATATAAAGGACCCTTCCCCTAGGGTCTTCTGTAATGTGCTCACACCCAAAAACAAAAGGGCAGTTTTCCCACATTCTCATGACAACAATGTCAGAAGTTACAACTGCAACAGTAGATACAATAGCATGACATTTAACTAGTACAAACCTGTGCACTCAGGTTCATACAAACAAAAATAGATGAATTTGGCTATTTGGACACTGTAGCCATTATATCTGTCGTTCTTGAAAATCACTATGCTAAGCATGTCTTAGCCATTCTCAAAAACCTAGAAGGATAACTGCATAGACTGTTAATCCAAACATTTTTCAACTTCTAGGCAAATAGTTTGAGCTATATTAAAAGAAGCGGCTTACGCAAATGTCTTGAGCTTAACGCCTTGACTCTATACACTGTCCTTTACTAGTTACTTGAAAAAAGTAATCTGATTACGTAACTCGCATTACTTGTAAGGCGTTACCCCCAACACTGCTGTCAAGCATGTTACATCTACTGTAACTTACATAAGACACAAGCTGCTTGGGTGCTATTATGTTATGTTGCTATTATGAAGTGATGCATGTGATGTTTTTGTAAGTTTACTTAATAATGCAAGCCACTACAGGCATCAGTGTTTTTCATACTCTGGTCAATTTTGAGATTTTTGGCTATTTTGCTTCCATAACATGTCTTTTTTAGTGGAAAGAAAAGATCTGAAATACATTTAAGTGTTTATTATTACACTTTATCCATCTGAAGATTTTTTTAGATCTTTTTTTTTTAATGCACCGATTTTTTTTTAAAATCTCCACTTCAGTAGCACTTACATATACCAGACTTTACAGTTTTATTTTATTTGTCTATATTTTGAGGGTTTTTGTCAGAGGGGTTTGTTCATATATTGTTCGACCTGAATTTTAAAACATTTTATTCCTAAAACCTTTTTTTTTTTCCCCTGGCTGTTGACAGTATTTTCTGATTTATGGAGTGATAACAAGAGATATCTAAATCCTCAGATATCTAAATCCTCTAACAAGAAATGTAACAAGAATTTTGACATTGGCTTTATCCAACATTCAGATTTCTGTTCTGGAAATTTATGCTAATTATATTTCAATATTCAAACACAGGATATCAGAAAACGATTGTTTTGTACTGTAATAATCTGGGGAAAGTACAGTGATATTTATTAGTTAACAATTTTACCCTATTTACCTATTGTTTCTTAAATGTACTGTACTGTCGAACATAAAACAGTATTCTTTATACTTTATTATAGATACACATACTATATTCTGTTAAAAAAAAACAGAGGAAATGACAGAGACAGGAAGGCTATGAAGATGCAGAGTCCTGCTTTTTCAGACTTCCGTGTTTAGACAAGGACCTTCGTAAGGCATCTGGCACATTCTATCTGCGTTTAATATGTGCTTGAATCCATTATTAAAATTAAATGTGATTATCTGATAACCCGAAGTGGATACATCTAAATAATGAAATACAGATCTGAACTACACATGATCAAATTAGGACATGGTTTGAATAATTTAATGAGGCCTTGGTTTTAAAACAGCTTAGAGTTTAACATCAACTCAAATCAAATGCTGTATGTCAGGAAAGAAATCCAAAAGGTTTCTGTTACCAGGAAACACACTGACTGAATGAAGTTCAGAATTATACAGACTTTTTTTTTTTTAGCTCATAAACAACCAACATTCTTTCTTTTGAAAAGTACTTCCAGCAGTGACATTCTCCCTTTTAAAACGTTTCCTGTGACAACAGTAGCCAGAACAACAGGAACTGCCCAGCCTGTGGATATGTCTGCATTTTAGGCCCCAGCATGGTCTGTTTTGAAAAGTACTTCCAGCAGTGACATTCTCCCTTTTAAAACGTTTCCTGTCACAACAGTAGCCAGAACAACAGGAACTGCCCAGCCTGTGGATATGTCTGCATTTTAGCCCCCAGCATGGTCTGACACACTCATGTCTGAAGTACCATGTTCAACAGATGCTTGACCCACACACACCTCCTTGCTTTAGCTTTGTCTTTATCATCTCGGATTGTAGGATAGTTTGTCATAGTGGTTATTTTGCAGATAAACATGCTAATTAAGATAAGCAGGGGTATTTACAGAGGAAATTAGACTGGGAGGGGGTTGTTTGGTCATTAAGATAAGACAGACATTCTGAAATGTAATTTATCAGATCAAGACACCACAGCAATGAGGTATACCGCACTAGCTAGTTTGCATGAAATGGCAAAAAACAAAAAACAAAACCGAAGTAACATTTTTTATGTGTGGAATGCCACCTAATTCTTTTAAATACGATTTTTTTTTTTGTCCTATTACTTTAAACGGGGCCGTTGACGAACACTGAATATCTCCCTAACAATCACACATGCACTATGAGCAAAACCATCTGTGTAGTGGAATAGCTGCACATTATTTTCTTTCCACGGAAGTTCAACATGAGCATAGTGTTTTAGGTGGTTGTTGGCGTTTATGAATAATTAAAAGCTAAAAACAGTAAGATATGAGCAATGGAAAGTTGTCTTTTGTTCAAGAATGGAAATTGCGTTAGCCACGTCCCACCAAGCAGAGTGGCGCAGCGGAAGCGTGCTGGGCCCATTACCCAGAGGTCGATGGATCGAAACCGTCCTCTGCTAACAAATTTTCGCTTTTACAAAATAAGATATTATGCATAGGTTATATCATATTTTGATGCATTATATATGCATTATAATCATTATTGTTTAAAAACATTTGCTATTTCATTAAAAGGTATTATTTGGTCAGACACATTTCTTGGTACAAAAAAAACTAAAAAATAAAAACAAGCAAAAAACAACATTTTAAATGTAAAAGAGATTCACGTAGGCTATCCTGTTCACCGTTTTATTTTACTGTAAGAAGCTTGTCTATCTGAATTATATTTTCTATTAATTACAGGATTTTTAAAAATAAGCAAATAAACAAAAGCCGTCATCATACCAGTTTGTTGACGAGCGTGGATTCAGGATGTCTTCTTTTGCAGTAAGTAAAGACAGACTGTATGTATCCAGATCAACTTCCCTCATTGATTTCATGATGATGTTAGTGTATTAAATGCAATCCTTAAATGCAGAATAAATGTGAATAAAATAACCTGTAGTCATACAGCAGATCTCGTTATGGCAGCAGCTATATGTCCTCCTGAAAGATTAAAATAGCCAGCTTTTGTCAATTGTATGCAAACTCTTAGGAAGCTTAGAAAAAAAACCATAAGCCACTCCTGCTCGGAATAAATAGCGGTTTGCATTGTTTCAAAGGTTAGCCACTGACAAATCCCACCCATTTAATTTATATTAATAGAACAAATTTGAGTTAATGCTTCATTTTGAATGAACCATAAAAAACAAAAATAACCTACACTGTTGGCTTTCTGAGACATTTTTAATGTAATGTTTACGTAAAGTAAGCCATTTAATCAATAATTTAAGTGTGTAATGTAAGTTATATCACATGTGTTTATGCTTATAAACATATTTGCTATTAAAATATATCAGATTACTGTGAGTTAGGAAAGATCCATGGCGATATATGGAAGTATTTTTTTATTCTCAAAAATATATATATTTTTTATCTTTGCATTATTTTAATGCATATACAAATGCAATCTCAGATAAATACATAAGAAATAAAGAATATTTGTATATATTTTATATAGAAGTGCATACTTAAAAGCTACAACTCTCAGCCAATAGCAGCGCGTTTCGTGTGTGACATCAATTCCATGCGCCGCGGCTGCACACAAGACACCGGCTTCGTGGGAGTCTTCTGTCGAGGAAAAATATGTCTACTGTTCGAGAAGTTGATGAATAAGCGGATAAATGTTGCTCTTGTCTTTACAATATTTAGCGTAATATTAGGTTTGCGCTGTTGTAGTATTAGTTTTGTGATCCACGTGGCCACATTGATGATATTTCGTGTGTACTGTAGTTAATGACAGTGGTTTTCAAAACACAGCCGTTTAAGTTTGTGTAGCATCTCCACGTCCAGACCAGAATGAAGTGCCACTATGAGGTGCTGGGCGTTAAAAGAGACGCGTCGGACGACGACCTGAAAAAGGCTTATAGGAAATTAGCCTTGAAATGGCACCCAGGTATTTGGTTTCATCTTATCTGTTTGATAAGTAATAAAGGTTACTGTCCCATATTGATAAATAAGGCTGTTGGTGTCGCCTGTTCTCTAACAATTGAATGATCTGTCAAGTGCTGTTGATTATAGGACTTACATTAGTTTAACCTTGAAATTGTGTTATGATGTTGTTCATATTGTTATTCTGATTCTAGACAAGAACTTGGATAACGCAGAGGAGGCTGCAGAGGAGTTCAAACTTATCCAGGCTGCGTATGATGTTCTGAGTGATCCGCAGGAGAGAGCCTGGTAAGACCTCCAAACAACAACTACGTTCACCACACATGCAATACATCTAGCTTAGTTCAAAACTAATGACATTTTACTTGAGGCTTTATTTATGTTACCTACCCTGTGTAAGCAATCCTTTAAAAAGGATACTTTCTTTCCAAAAATGAATATTCTGTCTTTTATTCACTGCTGTGATGTGGCAAATCTATATGGCTTTATTTTCTTCCACAACATGTGTATTTATATATATATATATATATATATACATCACACACACACACATACATATACACATACATATACATACACACATACACATACACATAAACATATACACACACACACATATATACACACACACACACATATACACACACACACATATATATATATATATATATATATATATATACACATACAGTATATATCATCCTCAAAGAGAATCCTCCTTTATCTTTGTGTTTCAAGCATCTGAAATCCTAGTTTTGATATATATATTTTTTTCTTGATAGTATTTCATACAAAAAAAGTCACTTTTTAGTCTATTTGAGATTCTCTTAAAGTGATGCTGTGAGCAATTCTGACTCTTTGACAAGAAATTGTCAGCTGTCTGCTTTCTAAGCATTCAAAAATTAAAGCTCTTGAAAGACCAAAGCATTCAAGATCTACAGTCATTTCATTTTGGTATATCATTTTTGGTTTATGGGGTGCTGGTTAAAGGAGTAGTTCCACACTTTTTCTCACCCTTATGACATTCCAAACCGATATGCAGTTAGTTTTCCATTTAACAGAAAAAGGTGAATTTTGCTATTTTCCATATGGTATTATGGACTACTTTTGTGGTGTTTTTTTGGAGCGTGACAGAAGTGGCCACTGCTGTTGTACAAAAGAGCTTCTTCAAAATTCTGCTTTTGTGTTCAGTGGAAAAACAGCATATGGGCTTGGAATGACAGACGTATTGAATGTTGTTGTTGCAAATTCTGCTGATCTACATGTTCTAGCTGTGTAACAAAAATGAGGATTTGTCAAAACTGTGAACTTGTATTAGTATTGGATGCATCAGGAATGGGTTGAAAATTGCAAACAAATCAGTAATAGTAATATTAATAATATTTTATTAATATACATTTCAAAATGTATACTTTGCAGCATATGTCATCGCTTTCCAGTGAATTTATAGCCATTTTTTCCTTTATAAATTCTAATAATTAATAATTAATTCTGTAATTATTTGTTGTAACTTATGAAAAAAGAAAAAATGACTGTTGTTTTCTGCCACACATAACACACACACACACACAAAAAAAATTGTTTGGGGGGGGGGGGGGTTAATTTTCTCCATAGTATGTGGGACTAAATACCAGTAATATTAATCAGTATTTGGCCTTTAGTATACTAAAATGTGTATTACAGCCTTCAGTATTTTCCCATTAATATTTAATTCTGTTAATATGGCTGTTACTTTTGTTTTAAGGTATGATAACCACCGAGAGGCTCTGTTGAAAGGGGGTGTCAGCGGAGAGTACCAGGATGACAGCATTGATCTCTTACAGTTCTTCACTGTCACCTGCTACTCAGGTTACGGAGATGATGAAAAGGTGAATATTTAAAATGTATTTTTTGTCAGCCTGTAACCAAACATACTTATGTCTGTTCATACAGGACAAGTTCTTGTGTTTCATCTGCATTCATTTTTAATTGTGTGAAACATGTCAGACAGATGTTTTTTTTTTTTACCATAGCATTGTATCTATATGCTCAGCAAAAAAGTGCATATAGACTATTGCGTTCTGTATGTAGCTGTAATTGAACTAAATGAGAGCTTTATACATTTTTTTATATATTTTATTTTATATTCTATTACATATATTGTTGATTTATTTTTGTTGATTTATTATGTCTTGTATTATCTTACATATAATTGGTATTTATCTGTTTATAATGTATAGCTCATATGTCTGCTATACCATCCTGTACCGCTGGAGGGCAGTAAAAGTTCATGTTGAAAATGCAAAGTTATGCTTTCAGTTTGGAATGATTAAGATTATTTATTGTGGAAATGCATGTATTCTATGTTTTAACAGTGCAAACTCTTTTGTCTCTGTAGGGCTTTTACACCATATACAGGAATGTGTTTGAGACTATCGCAAAGGAGGAGATGGAGCACAGTAAAGATGAGGAAGAAGATGAGGAGCAGTTTCCCTCATTTGGAGACTCTCAGAGTGACTATGACACTGTATGTAGACACTGGTACATGCAGTTTTCCACAAAAATATTAAGCACAACTGTTGTGAATCTTGATTTAAAAAAGAGCCTGTGACAGACTGGAGTAATGGCTGCTGAAAATTCAGCTTTGCCTTCACAGGGATAAATTACATTTCAAAATAAATTCAAATAGAGAACAGCTATTTTAAATTGTAATAAGAATTCACAATATTACTCTTTTACTGTAATTTTGATCAAATAGATTCAGCTTTGTTCAGAATTTAGAGACCTCTTTCAAAAATATTAAAAAATCTTACCGACCCCCAAACTTTTGAAAAGCAGTAGTGTATGTGAGTCTGACTCTTTTGATCCGGTTCTTTTTAATAAACCAGAATCACGAAATTCCTTAGAAAATGAAAAAAAATCTTGAGTCAGAACTAATGTATGGACTGTGAGAGTCGGTTGATGATCCAAAAAAAAATCCGTTTTATAATCTTTTAATTATATTTTATCTTTTATATTATAATCTTAAAATCAGTTATAAATTTGTTACAATTTTTGAGATAGTAGGGTACACACTTTGTTTGTTAGAGAGATATGTATAGATTGTAACATGAAGATGAAATACTTGAGTGCTAAAACATGGCATCAGAGTTCGTCAAGGGATCTAGTGAATTTTAGACCTTACAGCCAAATGAGACTGTGGATTATTAACTTATTAGCTAAATGGAACACAAAAGTATTCCATCTATAAATACTTCTCCAAGCTTCTACAGGTAACAGGATGGCACTCTTCCGTATCTGAAATCATTTTTCAGATTGTTAGCTAAAAGAGGGGAAAAATCTTGACAGAAAAAATTCACATTTGGTTCAAGGGATCCAGTACCTCTTTTAGGCGCTGAGACCATTTTCTCCGGGGTCTGAACAATGAGGTTCATCCCACTTCAATTAGGCCTGTATAGGCTCTTAAATGATCTTAGCCGTTTCACCTTCCGGTGTGGCTCATACTTGCACTTCACCTAATGGATGTTTTGAAGTGTTTGCCATCAGTGGAGGCTTGCAAGAAGCAGATGAATGTACAAGCCTCCTAAAAACTCTTTATCTTGTTTTTAAAAGGATGCAGCATACTGGAAGTCTATACTTAAAATCTAGTCATATAGTATTCTAATTTTCTTTGCGTTTGTCTCCGTTTCCCCTAAATAATATTTTTTTTGTCTCTCAGGTGGTACATTTATTCTATGGCTACTGGCAGAGCTTCTGTACGCGCAAAAACTTTGCATGGAAAGAGGAGTACGACACTCGACAGGCCTCCAACCGCTGGGAGAAGAGAGCCATGGAAAAAGAGAACAAAAAAAACAGGGACAAGGCCAGGAAAGAGCACAGCGAGCTGGTGCGCCAACTAGTGGCCTTCGTCCGAAAGCGTGACAAGCGTGTTCAGGCCCATAAGAAGCTGGTGGAAGAGCAGAACGCAGAGAAGGCCAAAAAAGTTGAAGAACTGAGGAGAAAACAGAAGCTCCACCAGGCCAAGTAAGATTAGCCCCTTTTATACGATTGGGTGATATGACAAAATTTTGTTCATACGAAGGAAAAA